CCTCTAAACCCCGAATCTCACCTCAAAAACCACATCAATGCCCTTGAAGGAAACCTAAACCTTACCCCTACACCCTAAAATTCACCTCAAAAAGCGAATCTCACCACCATGTCCCAAACACCACACACAAAATAAACCTAAACGCCTCAGAGCCACAAAACTCACCTTTAAAACCATATTTACTTCCCAAAAGACCACCGCAACGGTCTCTTCTGGTGCTACAAACACAAGAACTGGACTCCTAACAAATGTTCTCAGTACGACCTGTGTCAGATGTTCTTCGATAAGATCTACTCCAAGTACCTGCTGAAGAAACCTGTCAAGGTAGGTGTATGTGGAGTTTTGAATGGCAGAAATTGTGGAGATCTAGTGGAAGAGAACACAGCATTGTAGTAAAAGAAGTTTACTTGAACCAAGAGAAGGAAACTTAAAAAAAAAAAAAAAAAAAAAAAAAAATTGTGTGCCTGGTATTTCGTTAGCGTGTCGTATATGTAGCTTTGTTTTAGTTCATTCAGCTAATACCATCTCAAAACCTTAGGTACTATAATCACTACCACTTTTTTATTTATTGACCAGTAAATCTACCTCAAGCTTGATGAATAACATGAATTAGGGTGCCTATAATAAAAGGTGAAAACAAATTCCTTGCAGAAATGTTAAATGAAAAAAAAATGAAATCAAGTGAAATAACCTCTCAAGATCACAACGTTAAAAGCAAAGTTTTACTCCTTGTAATCTGTTCACATAAACAACTTTACTTTGATTGTTTAACACTTATGTTACCATTATTAAGATTCTCCCGGTATGATAACAAAAACATTTTCTTAATATTATTATTTTTGTTAATATACATCTCATTTCAATACCATATCAAAAGGAGAAAGAAAACCTCTCTCAGCAAACAGAAAAGAAAAAAACAACAACATAAAACCTAACCCTAATCGCCTGACCTCTGACCTGCAACAGGCCCCTCGTGCTGGTCGTCACGGCTGTCGTATTCGGCACCAGCATCTGGGGCGTCACGCTGGGCAGGCAGGTGGCGTGTGGTTTCCGCAGTCGTCCTACCTGTTCCAGTTCCTCTCTCGGGCCCAGACTTTCTACCCAGAAGCAGGTGAGGCTCTAAGGCAAATGTGGCTGGAGAGAAAATCTATAAATCGAAGTTAAACCTTTAAGTACATGTATGTATGTGTGTAGGTGTACATATATTACATATATTCATATATATATATATATATATATATATATATATATATATATATATATATATATATTATATATATATATATATGCGCATATGTATATGTACTTATAAACCTAAAAAAGACATTTACTTTATCAGTAGTTTATAATTTTGTGTTACTTCGTAATTAACCGACATATATCTATATCTATCAATCTTTTCCTTGTGGATTGGAAGATACAACTCACAACAATATATATATATAGATATACATCATACATACACATATATATATATATATATATATATATATATATATATATATATATATTATATATAATATATATATATGCAGCCCATCATTTACAGTTTCATGACATATCAAGTGTCTTTTAAAATTTACATTAAGGTTATCCCCGTAACATATACATCTGTATCTACCACAACCTATACATCTATTATATCTACATCAACAGCTATTCATCAAAACCCCAATCCATTAACTGTGCGAACAAGAAAGACAAAACTAATCGTAAAAACAAAATGCAAAAGTCTAAGCCAATTCCTTCCTCAGGCGAGCGCGGCACCGTGTATCTGGGCGCCCTGAACTACTCCCAAGAACTGCCGAAGATTGGCTACCTGACGCAGGCCATGAGGGAGAACGAGTACATTTCCTTCGTGGATTCTTGGTATGATCTCATGATTGACTATACCAACAAGAGCACCGGTGAAGGTAGGTGGTATTCTTTTTTATCTGTTGTTTTTTATCTATCTATCTATTATTTTATATATTTATTTATTTATTTATTATTTATTTTTTTATTTATTTTTATTTTATTGTTCTATATCATCGCTGCTGGGGTGATTGTTTGTTTATGTGTATGAATTATGTTGATAAAAGTAAATAGAACGGTGGATGCTATCTGGAGTTTAGCATAATGGTTCTGTGCTGAGCTCCTAAAGATCAGGAAGCTATATTAAAGGGTTTTTGTTAATAACTGATGATTTCATGAAATATAGTATCATTACAGTTGTCGGTTACACCACCACCACTATTATCATCACCACCACATCAACATAACCACCACCATCGTCATCCATCACCATCATCATCACCACCACCACCACCATCATCATCATCATCATCATCATCATCATCATCACCATCACTATTATCCCCACCATCATCATCATCATCACCATCACTATTATCCCCACCATCATCATCACCATCACTATTATCCCCACCCCCACCACCATCACCACCCACCACACCACCACCACCACCACCACCCACCACCACCACCACCCCACCACACCACCACCACCATCATCATCACCCACCACCCCCACCTCCCACCAACCACCCCCACCACATCATCACCACCACCATCTTCACCCACCACACACACCATCACCAATTATCATCCCAACACCCCCTCCCCTTGCAGACATCACAGGACAGTCACTGAACGGATTGCTTCCTTATCAACAGGGCCATGTCCAGAAATTCCTGTATGCCACCATCCCTAGGCTCTCGCTTCAGCTATCCCTGGGAGGAGCATCTATTTTCATTTCGACGGTGCCGAGAACCTCTGTAACTACCGCTATGTGAGCAACCTGCGATTCTCTTCCCCTTATACTACGATAAGTTGCTGCGTTCGTTGTCCCCTCATTACCATTTACGTTTATGTCTCTCTTCGAATTTTGATTTGTCATATACTTTTCTAATATTCATTTCTTGAGTTATCTATATTTTATTTGTTTCTTTACTATCGCTCGTTTACTGAGCAATCTCATTGACTAGCGAACCATCCATCGTCTTATTTTAATTCAGCTCTCTGTTCGAGGACCACTGGTATATTTTTCGTGAGTAGTCTACAATCCGCCTCTCCGCTATCTCACTCGTCGTGTACCTACATTTCTGACCCACCCGGTTCACTCAGTGCACCAATCACTTACGAGCACCTGCGGGTACAGATCCACAGACTCGCTACTCCCCCCCGCTATTCGGACTAAATACTCAGCGTTCACACCAGCATAGTATTGCTGAATACATATATATGCATAGAATTTGCTCTTTACTTCTCTCTGGTGGCCTCTCTTATTATTTTTTCTTATTTTTTTTTTTTTTTTGTGTTTTTTTTACAACCGTAATGATTAGATTACAACAAAAAATGATTAGACAACAAAGTGACGGATAAAAAAAACTAAACTAGATATATAAAAATGTTATCGAAAATAGTTTTCTTATCAAAAGCTTTTAGTTTATTTTGTGTGATGAGTAGAGATCGTTTATGTTACCAGATGCCGATTTATGTTTAAATCTCATTATTGTTTTAATAGTATTGCATTGGATACAGTATACTTATAATTCGGTATATAGATGTGATTATGCACTTAAATAGTTACTCTTCTTTTTTTCTACTACACTTCCTCCTTCCCTTTCCTTTTTCTTGGTCGTCTTTCGTTCCCACATTTTAACATCATTCTCCACCGTATTCACTTTCTCCATATACTCCTCTTTTTATTCTACCCTATCCTCCTTTTCAAATCTCTGTTCCTCATCCTCACTCTTCTACTTTTTCTCCAGTTTTCTCCTTCTCCTAATCTCCCTCCTTCTGCTCTCCTCCTCCTCATCTCCCTCCTCTTCTCTCTCTTAATCTCCCTCCTTCTGCTCTCCTCCTCCTCATCTCTCCTTCTTCTCTCCTTCCTAATCTCCCCCTTCTGCCTCCTCTTCATCTTCCTCCTGCTCTCCTCATCTCCCTCCTTTTGCTCTCCTCCTCCTCATCTCCATCCTTCTGTTTCTACTCTTCCTCCTGCTCTCCTCCTCCTATCTCCCTCCTTCTCCTCTCCTCCTCCTCATCTCCCTCCTGTTCTTTCTCCTCCTCCTCTCTCCCTCCTCTTCTTCCTCCTCTTCATCTCCCTCCTTCTGCTCTCCCCTCCTCCTCACTCCTCTTCCCTCTCTCTGCTCTCCTCCTTCCTCTCCTCATCTTCTCCTCCTCTCCTCCTCATCTCCCACCTTCTGCTCTCCTCCTCCTCATCCCCTTCTCTGCTCTCCTCCTCACCTCCTCCTTCTCTCTCCTCATCTTCCTCCTGCTCTCCTCCTCTCCTCATCTCCCTCCTTCTGCTCTCCTCCTCCTCAATCTCCCTCCTTCTGCTTTCCTCCTCCTCTCCTCCTTATCTCCTCCTTCTCCTCATCTTCCTCCTTCTCTCCTGCCTCCTCATCATCTCCCATCCTTCTGCTCTCCTCCTTCTGCTCTCCTCTTCTTCCTTCTGCTCTCCTCCTCATCTCCCTCCTTCTCTCCTCCTCTCCTCACCTTCTGCTCCCCTCCTCTGCCTCTCTCCTCCTCATCTCCTCCTCTGCTCTCCTCTCATCTCCTTCTTCTCCTTTCCTCCTCCTATCTCCTTCCTTCTGCTCTCCTCCTTCCTCTCTCCTCTCCTTCTGCTCTCCTTCATCTCCCTCCTTCTCTCCTCCTTCCTCTCCTCTCCTCTCTCCTCCTCTCTCCCACCTTCTGCTCTCCTCCTCCTTCATCTCTCCTCCTTCTGCTCTCCTCATTTCCTTCCTGCTCTCCTCCTCCTCCTCATCTCCCTTCCTTCTCTCCTCCTCATCTCCCTCCTTCTGCTCTCCTCCTCCTCATCTCCTTCCTTCTGCTCTCCTCCTCCTCATCTCCCTCCTTCTGCTCTCCTCTTCCTCATCTCCCTCCTTCTGCTCTCCTCCTCTCCTCATCTCCCTCCTTCTGCTCTCCTCCTCTTCCTCATCCTCATCTCCCTCCTTCTGCTCTCCTCTCCTCCTCATCATCATCCCCTCCTTGTTGATCCCTGTTTATCTTCGTTTCCAAGGCCAGCAAATTCGACTACAGCCACAGATCCCTTGACGGGCCATCTGAGCAGATTCCGGCGATGGACCAGACGAAGGACTTGGTCAAGAGCGCGAATTTCTCAGGTGAGAATCGAACTTGGAATGATCTTGTGGTCAGGGTGGAAGCTATTAAGTATTGTTTAAAATAGGGTCTTGGGTTTTAGATTTATTCAAGTTCGAATAGACGCGTACCGAACTAGATTATCTGCAGAGCCGGTTTCAGCCTCCTACTTTAAAGTACAGAGATAGACACGACACAACCCAGTCATGGCGGTGTCAAGCCCCCCCCCCCCCCTCCCTCTCTTCTCTTCTCTTCTCTCTCTCTCTTTCTTCTTTCTTTCTCTCTCTTCTTCTTCTCTTTCTTTCTTTCTTTTCTCTTTCTTCTCTCTTTCTTTCTTCTTCTTCTCTCTCTCTCTCTTCTTCTCTCTCTCTCTCTCTCTCTCTCTCTCTCTCTCTCTCTCTCTCTCTCTCTCTCTCTCTCTCTCTCTTTGAAAAAATATGATCACTTATATCCTGGCAAGAATAGAGACAAGATTAGTGGCACCTGGTATTTACATTGGATATTGAACTTCCAATGCCTTTGGTCAAGCAGAGCTAATGACTGAGTCCAATGAAGCAATCCTTATGGTGGTTCCTACCTATATGTTGAATAAGTTTTCATTTTCCAGTATGCGATGGAAATTTCATGTGAAAAGTTGATCTATCGAATTCCATGCACTGTATACCACGTGGTAATGGATAACATATTGTATAAAACACGTTATAATACTATATATCAATGCGTGTATCTGTGTGGTGTATCAACGCTGAACATACCATTAAGAATCTAGCATGTGGATGCCGGGATATGTAGCTCGCACACCACTCTAGACTTCAGCGATGCTGGAGGCGCTGGTATTACCATTGCAGATTCGAACCGGTATTTGCAACAGGAGCGGATAGGAACCTGGGACCGGTACTACTATCGGGCCCAGGTTCTACCCGGTCCTCTGCAATAGTTGTCGTCTCAGTGGGGAAAACCTGGTAGCCACGCGGTCAGTGAGGATGACTGCCATTTACTAGTCGGTCCACCACCTCGATCATAGAGATAGTTACCTTCACGCAGGCGTACTATGTTAAGACTAAAGCCACCATTTGAGTACTTGTCTCTTATTGCTGCCGATCTTTGCAAACTTGCCTTGAAAAATGTTTATGCCAAGCTCTTCAGACATCTGTTGGTGCTTTTGGCAAAGGAGAGGCAAGTAAAAATAAGAACAACTTCCCTTTCAGAATTTTGCAAGGTTCTAGAAATCAATCATGATTGGCTCTTTGTACAAGCGCTCACATTCTTACCAACGCTCGGTATGACTGAGTGATCAGGAAATAACGGATCCTATAGTATTTACGACATACCATTAAAATACTCCATACGGCATACAAACCATTTAGACTGCGTAAAAACACGACAGGACTTGATCTTCCATTGCTCCCTGGTGCATAGGATTCGAGTGAGGATTTTTAGATTTAAAGATTAGTTTTAATTCCATTTCTTACACTGTATATGCTTTGCTATGACATACTGTCTACTATTTTGCTTCTAAATCTCCCCCTGTGTGCAAGGAATGGCCAGGGTTACCATTCACTGACCGGGTATGGGATTGAACGCAGGTCTGCAAGATTGCTAGTCCAACACGATAACCGCTGCGCCAGAGCAAGTCACAGCAAAAGCATTTAGGAGGCCATTTTCCTAGCAAATGACCTTCGTTCGGCTTATGAAGGCCTGACGAAACTGAATGCGTGTGTGTAACCAAGCCATAAATATTATTCTTGCTCTCGTCAGATTTCGCAGCCCCAATCGCCATGATGTACAGCAGTTGGGAGACGGATAAAATCATCGCATTTGAACTTGTCCGAAACCTTTCTCTGGCGCTGGTGGCCGTGTTCGTCATGACGCTCATCCTCATAGCCAACATAGTGTCTTCAATCTATGTTCTCTTGTGTGTTTTGCTTACCCTCGTGAAGTAAAAAAAATATTTTTAGTTGTGATTTTTTCCCTTTTGTAAAGATTATCATTTTACTTTATGCTATTATTAAACACAATCGCATATATGATACTGATAGATTGATTTTCTCTAATTTTATTGTTTAAAGGTAATTCTTAAAATATGTGCAGGGATATAAGTCAATAATTACGATGATAATGAATAATAATAATAACAATAGTATTGATATTGATAATGATAACCATAATGATACTAATAATAATAATGAATTCATTCTAATTTCCAGGTCGATGTCATGGCCCTGATGACCTGGTGGACCTGACTATTGACACCGTGTCTTGCATCAACCTGGTTCTCTGCATTGGCCTCTGTGTTGACTACTCGGTGCACATAGCACTGCACTTCATGCAGGTATTGTGACGAATGTGTTTTGCTTATTGTGTGAGGCTATGTTTCATCTAATATTTACTTTGTTGCCCATCTCTCCTTCTCCTATTCTTCTTCTTGTTCTTTTTCTTGTAATTCTTCTTTTTCTTCTTCATCTTCTTCTTATTCTTCTTCTTCTTCTTCCTCCTCCTCCTCCTCTTATCTTCTTCTCTCAAAGCTCCATAATTCCTAAGCTCCATTTTTAACTTCTGTAGTTAAAGGCACGAGAGACGAACGTGTTCAACGGACGGTGAAAGAGATGGGTCCGGCAGTTATAAACGGAGCCTTCTCTACGTTCCTGGCGTTCATCCTCCTCGCTAATTCGGATTCTCACGTGTTTGAATCGTTTTTCAAGGTTTGTACTTTTTTTTTTTTTTTTTTTGCTCACTCGGTCACTCACACTCACATATTCACTCTTTATCTTTCTCTCTTTACCATCCTTTGAGATGTAATATTTGTCTCAATAAGCGTATCAGACAAAAAAAAAAAAAAAAAAAAAAAAAAAAAATCTCCACCCCCCCACTCTTACCTCCCCCGCAAACCCCACAGATGAAACCCTCACCTATCCAAATTTTCCAGATCTTCTTCGGCGCGTGTTCATCTACGGGTGTTCCATGGCCTGGTTCCTCCCCGTCCTCCTCAGCCTCATTGGACCAGCGCCCTACGCCCACGACCTCCACGCCCTTCCCGAAGCCATCGAGGTCGAGAAGCGCTCCAAGGACGTTCTGGTGATCGATGGAAGGACTTACTCGCAGGTGCACAACGTTAGGTCCAATTCGTCCTACGAGTGATTTTCTTTGTAAATAGTTTCGTACTTGCATGCATTCTTCTATTTTTTTAAATCTTTCAGTGATATGTGATTATTTTTCTCTGTTCTGTTCTGGAGAGAGAATTTGCTATTTGATTTATGGTAATAGAGCCAAGGTGCAAGATTTATCAAGGAGATTCTCTTTTAACATTTTCTATGAACATGTTAATATAATAATAACAGTAGTAAATAAATGATATTAAAGTTATTATCATCATCAACATGCTGCTACTTGGTAAGATCTTGCTTATCGAAATTTTCTCTCCTTTATTAAGTTCTGGACGGGTATATAATATTCCCATGTAAACTTTATTTTCTAGTATCACATTTATATTTTTTTCTTTGTCTGTCAGTAGATGATTACTGCCTTATGCTAAATCCTATTTTCACTGTATTTTGTGTGTGGATGTATAAATATAATAATTTAAAATTACATTTGTATCAAACAAGAGAGAAACACTATATTAGTTTATCTGAAAAAATAGTATGTTTAAACTCTTTACTTTAACATTTGAAAAGCATATGAAAACTATAATATTAATAGCCCGTGAAAGTACTTTGCAATACTCATTGAATACTTTTAATGCACTTCACTGGTGTTATTTTTACAACAAAGTTATCTAGAAAAGGTATGGATAAGAATGAACATTACAATATAAGAAATGTACTTGTACTTTCATGTATTTATGACAAAGTATTCGAAAGCAATCAAATACATCTCTTGTATTGTGAAGATATTAATTCTCATTCATATCTTTTCTACATGTCAACATCAATTCTGTATTAAAATCATCAAATGGTTATTTTTTGACAACCAACAAAAATCTGTTGGCTCAAAGTACAATACTATTTGAATGGGGTTTTGATACATTTGTTGTGTGTATTTGCTGTGAGGTCCTAAACTCTTATTAAAGAAAATGTGTATTATCTGAAGAACAAAGCCACCTAAATACATATCTTTCTTGCATGCCTTTTCTCTTGCTAGTGACAAAACGTGTGACTTCTTGATTTTTCTATTTCTGTATGCATTATATAAACTTATGTTTATACTGTTTCTGTACATATTTCTGTATCTTATGGATGCAGCTGAATTAATAAATATGACAGATTTTTCCTTTGCCTGTATTAATTTTCATATTTTTATAGAACAATTGCATGTTTATCTTTAATGATTTTCACTAAATACCTTCAATGATTTATTTATCCATTTTCTCTACCCTGTGCATGATACATTTAGATTTCTCTTCAAATACAGTTTAATCATGGTTATCATTTTTTTTTTAGAAACATGATTAATACAGAAAAAACTCTATTCCACAGAAAACCTGAAGTTCTTGAATGCAATGAAAGGTAAACCTAACCTGTATGTTAGTTCTTACAGTTTTCATGCCAAGTGATGCAGTTTCTCTAGTGGTGAGACATGTGTACTTTAAATCATAGCAAAGCAAACCGCTAATTTATACATTATTGTATTATATATTTTTTTAATCAAAGAAAAAATAAAATTTCTAGTAATGTTTATAAATTTGCTAAGGTAAGTCTTCAACTTATGTACTGTACTTACAATTAAAAGTTAAAGAATAAAATTGTAAACAAATATGCTACCCAAATTTCAAGGGACTTATTTAAAGGTATAGCTGTTTTTTTAAGCTTTTGTTCTATTTCCACAGTATTCCTGAGGTGCTGCCTGTGAAGAATCCCATGGACAAGTAATTAAGATACCTGTCTATATGTGGAAGACATGACAGAATACATTCAGCAGAAGAAAGAATTAGTTATAGGACTTTCATGTAATTTTTAAATGGTACTGCTTACCATTAAATCATTATATTTTGTATTTGGTGTAAACTGTGTATTTCTGAGTGTCGTGATCATTAACATTATTACAAGTAAGATTAGTTCTTTGTAAATGAGAACTTGACTAGGATGTAAGTAGATTATTTAAATTGCTTCATATTCATGTCAAATTTATCAGTAATATAAATTTGAATACAATAAGCATTGTGTCAATTTCTTTGTGACAAATATTGCACAAGTCAAATGGTTTTAAACCACTGTATACATCTTTACTGTAACTTGCAAGGTATATTATATATATGCATAATAAATATCTTCTTTAGGCACAGTTCTTTAAATTTCTACACTACACTTAAAATTTAAAAATCTACAGTCCATTAACCTAATGCCGCTATACACAGTGATGGCTCCCCATGTACTAAGTCACCAATGAACCAACAATGAGTACTACCTATTTACTACCCGTTTATCCTATTCCCTGAGCCAACTACGAGTACTACCTACTTACTACTCATTTATCCTTTACCTTGAGCCATCGACAAGTACTACGTATTTACTACCCGTTTATCCTTTTCCTTGATTTTCATAAATATTTTCAGAAATCTTACCTTACTGTCAGTAATGTAAATAATATTAGGATAATTATGATGTCTGCAATACTGATAGCCAAGAGCATCAATCCTGATAGCATTAAAAAAATAACTCAAGGATAGGTAAAATCAAATGAAGTCACATGCTCTACTAATTAACTCGATTGTGGCTAAATGCTTCTGGAGTTATTTCACAAAACAATACTATAGGGAACACAATCTTTTTCTGGTGATGTGGGGCTAATACTTAATTTGCTATTTTTAACATGTGGACACTCCAATTCTCCTTAAAAGAGAAAAAGGAAATTGATAAATGATTTCAATTTCCATTTTCTTCCTGTGCATTTACTTCTTTATTTTTCTCTTTATCTCCTTTTCATCCTTTTCTCCTCACAGATACATCCTTGAAGTATTTTTATACAATGTATTATTATTTATTATTACTGTTCCTCATACTCAGACAAGGTAAACCTACAATAAATTGGAAAAAAAAAAAATCAGTTAGTGATATTAATTTTCAAAAATGTGTGGTATCTAACACTAACAAATCACGTGTCAAACATAAATGTGAAATAAACTGATAATAAAATTACCCATTTACATAAATATCTAAACTTGTGTACTGTATAATTAGATTTGCATTACAAAACCAAAATTTTACTCGAATCTAAGATGTATTCAGCCATAGCTATTTTAAGCATGCTCCACAGACTTTATTTTAATCTCTACCTGGATTCATCTTGTACATAAAGGGAGTGTTTTTCCCTGTTGTACTTCAAAAATATTCTAGCCAAACACATACAACAAAGGATGCACAGGAATAATACAACAGCCTGTTAGTATTTTTTACATTTATTCTGTATCTAAACTTTCATAAAAACAATATATGTTTGCTGTACATTACAGATCCATATACATATATAGATATACAAGACATAATTAGTACTGTTTTGCCATTGAATTACCATATACAGTATTTAGTCCCAAAGTGCATTCGGCTTCCCATTCTAAGCACCAACTGTCTAATGTGTTTGTTATTGATGAGTAGTGTACAGTGTTTGTGTGACCAATGGGATACACTGGAAAATATTCACTATTAACTCTCATTCAGTACCGGCTTCCGCTGCTTTACTCATTCGATAGCTGTGGATAAAAAATGAAAAAAAATTATATATATTTACTGTATATATATGAATGCATACATAAATATGAATATATATATATATTGTGTATGTATGTGTGGTGTTGTGTGTGTGTGTGTGTGTGTGTGTGTGTGTGTGTGTGTGTGTGTGTTGCTTGTGTGGTGTGTGTGTATGGTTTTGGTGGTGTAGTGGGTGTATGTGTGTTGTTATATAGGTGTGTGTATATGCTGTTTGTGTATATATGTGGTGTCAATGTGTTGTACTA